CGGCGAATCCTGCCAAGGTGTTGGAGGCCCTAGAGGGCGCAAGGCACGCGGGCACCAACTGGCGCCCATCCGACGTAGCCGTGCGGCCACAAACCTGGCAAACATACAAGCTGTGCAAAACCCAGAAAGCCAGCATGTGCGAAGGATGCACGGCCACACCAGAAACGGAGACAGGCCAAGGGACCTCGACAACGACGTCCGAAGGGAAGGGGTCCACCCCCGCGGCAGGGACGCAAGGAGCCTTGGAGACCTCTAAGAGGTCGTCCTTATCGCAAAGCACCTCGCAAACTCTGCAGCGAACGGAGCTGCCATATGACACGAATCGGTGCGGCGACGCGCGAAGCGCTCGATCGAGCTTCGACCCTTGCCTCGCTCTCTCCAGGGAGGCAACCGAGGGCCGAGCCTTCCTGGGATCAGCCAGGGACGAGTCGATCAGGGCACGGCGAGCACGACGCCGAATTAAGGCAGACTGCGCATCCCAAAAGTCGGTCCTGGAGTCGGAACTGGCCGAACGCGCCCAGGAACGCTCAGCGGCCTCCGAGGCCGCAGTGTCAGCCAGATGATTTCCAGCCCTGAGAAAAAAAAACCTGATGATCAGACAGGCCCTCGGCCTCGAGGTCCAGGTGAGAGGCCGTCATTCAAGGGTGACGTGTCCCTCTCCACGAGAGACGAAGGCACTCGTAAGTTGGAGCCACAAGTCCCAGTTCCCACCCCCACCGCACTGGCTCGACCCCGCCCCCACCCAGTAATGGAAGAGGAGGAGGAGGAGGAGGAGGAGGAGGAGGAGGAGGAGGAGGAGGAGGAGGAGGAGGAGGAGAGGGAGCAGGAGGAGGAGGAGGAGGAGGAGGAGGAGGAGGACGAGGAGGACGAGGCGGAGGAGGACGAGGAGGACGCGGAGGACGAGGAAGACAAGGAGGAGGAGGGGGAGGACGAGGAGGGCGAGGAGGAGGAGGACGAGGAGGACGAAGAGGAGAAGGACGAGGACGAGGACGAGGACGAGGAGGAGGAGGAGGAGGAGGAGGAGGAGGACGAGGAGGACGAGGAGGAGGAGGAGGGTAAGGGTAAGGGTACATGCGCCGAAGCGCGGCCGACAGGCCGACGGACGACTGGTTCTGCTGCGCACTGTCAAACGATCGATGGGGGTGGCCCTCGCCGCCTCGCCCATCTTAAAGTAGCTTTCGCTGGACCTTCCTCGTCCATCCGCCTTGGAGGGCACTGGCAAGGGGCTGGCGCCGGGGCCGCCTCAGCAGGCCTCTAGCCCACGAGCTCCGCCTCCTCGGAGACTATGTCGGAGGCGTCGGCAGCCTGGGTGCGGGCCGCCTCGCGGCCGACACGGCGGACCTCCTCGAGGTCGTCCTCCGTGAGCCCGTAGCAGCGGAGCAGGAAGAGACGCGCCGCCCTCGGCTCGGGCCGCCTGCCCTGGGGCCCTGGCGCATCCGCCGGCGTGGCGGGAAGGCGCTCGTCGCCAGCAGCAGCGCGACGCCCGCCGCTCGCTGCCGCGGGCAGGTCCCCTTCCAGCTGGAGGTCGCCTGCGAGCTGCAGCTGCTCCTCGGGCCCTAGGGCAAAGGGCCCCTCGAGCGCTCCACCTTGTCTCCCCTTGCCGTAGTGGGGCCAGCGCAACAGGCGCACCAGCCGTAGCTGCTCTTTGCCTGCGCTGGACTCCCGCCCTCGGCACAAGTTCTTGAGCAGCTTGCCGGGCTTGCGGCCCGCCAAAACCCCGCCGCACCGCAGGCAGAACGCGAAGCGCATCTGGGGATTTTCCGCCACTCGGCAGCGCAGGAGAGCGTGCCCTCTAGCCCTCCACGCGTGCCTGGCCAGGACCTGGTCGTCGAGGCCAAAGTGCAGCTCCACGTGCCCTGGGGCGCGTCCCTCCTGGCTTTGGGGACTGGCAGCCGCGCCTCCGGCTGGGCCTGCAGGACCCGTGTCGCCGACCGGCCCGCTGCCCTCGCATGCATTCCCGGGGGGCTGCTCCTTTGCAAGGGCCATCTCCTCGCTGAAGTCGTCGACGCCGAAGCAGAAGGCGTCTGAGCCCTGGGAGGCTGCCCCATGCTTGGTATCAACTGGGGCCGCCGCCGCTTCCGGCGCGAGCGGCACGCCCCACCTGGACGGGCCTGCCACCGCCCCTGGGGCTGGGCAAAAGGAGTGCCTCCGGCAGCCGAGGGGGGAATGGCATCCCCCGGAGCTGCAGCAGCAGCCGCCGCTGCCTCCTCCTTTTCTTCGCCTCTCGCCGCCTCCTCGTCCCCTTGCCCAGGCCGCTCTTCCCGACCAGCCTCTGCCTGGCTCTCCCTGACGGGAGCTTCACGCACGACGTCGCCGTCCGCGGCGGCTGCAGGGGCAGCGCCCTCGCTGAGTTGGGCGTGTCCGTGGAGCACATCCTCATGCCGCGGCCCCCCATCTTGGGCAGGCCCCCCCCCCCTTCACGCCCCCCTTCAGAAGGGGGGGCAGACATGGTACAACAATTGCCCCCATTTTCCGTGGGACAGGGGAGCATCGGCATAGCGCCAGCATGAGTAGCAGCCTCGGCAGGCCTCTCATCGCCACGCGACTGGGACACGCTAGCTTGCACTTGGGAGCATGAGTAGGTTAGCTCCCCAACTCCAGACATCTTCCGTCATGATATGTGCGTTATGCCCCCCTGGCCGCGCGGGCCGATTGCGCCCCAGGCGACCCCGAGGGGCCGTTTTGAGTGATTTGTTTTGCGTCCTCGCCGGCAAAAATATGGAGGCGGCGTCGCCTTGTAGAGTGACGGACAGGACGGCGCCGCGCAACACGGCAACGAAAATGTTACGAATTTCGGTCTGCCGGGGAGGGGGAAACGTAACGAATTTCCCCCCCCCCCCCCGCTGGGTAGCAGAAAAACTTTACAGTTGACGCTGCCCCTTTCTAGACCCACCTGGACGACAGCAGGCCCCCCAAATACACCAAATAGGACCCAGCTGGGGCCCGGCGTTCCCCCAAGCGGCCACAAGGTGGTGTCTGCACTTTGGGCCACCCGCAGACACCACCCAGTGGCGCCGTGAAACGCCCAAGCTAACCCTAGCGGGCGCCATATGGACGGCAGCGGGCCCCAACACGCTGCCTTTTGGGCGCTCCACCACACCTCTCCCCCATGCCCCTTGCCCCTTGCGGGGTGTCCGGGAGGGGCCCCGGGGAGGGTGGACGGTTGGGGGCCCCCCGGCCCTCGTGGTCCAGTCGCTGCCCGCCCCCCAGCTCGGCCTCCAGGGTGGCGCTCCAGCGGCATGCCTCCTTCGCCAGCTCCCGCAGCCCTCGCCATAGGGCCTCGTCTGGCTCGCCGACCGCATGCCTGGCGGCGCCCCGCTTGGCGAAGGAGTCGGCGTGGTCGTTGGCCCGCCGCTCCCAGTGCGTGCTGCGGCCCCCGTCGATGTCGCCGCTTGATGCATGACCCAGCGTCTTGTGGGCCTCGAAGTCGCCCTCCGTGAAGGAGGCCCAGAATGGCCCCCAGAGGTGGGGGCGCGGGTCCACCCCGCGAGTACCGGCGCCGGCGCCGCCTCCGAGTGTGCGCAGTGTGTTGGCGCAGTCGAGGTACAGCTGGAAGGGCGCCATCGCCACCTGCGACAGCATGTGGACCGCGTAATCCTCTGCGTCGGGAGCAGTTTGGTTGGGCGCGTCCGACAAGGGCACTGGGCCGTACGCAGCCGCCTCCAGGTGGCCGAAACGGTCGACTTGGACCACCGACCAGCCGGCATGCTCGAGCCCTGGGAGGGACCCAGCAAAGGCGCTCCCGTCCAGGAAGAGGCACCCCGTGAGCAGCCCTGTGCTAGGTCTGTTTACCCAGCAGATGCCCCCCTTCCTGCCCACCCGTTCGAACAGGCAGCTGGGGCTGGGGAAGAGCCCGCGGCTGAACCGCTCCGCCGCCTCCAGGCTCCACCTCCTCACCCGGGCAGCTCGGGCCCGCAGGCTGACCGACGCGCCCTCTCGGCGGCGGGCTGCGTGGCAGGGGCACTCGTAGTGCCTGTGGAAGAGGCTGCCCAGCTGCTCGCCACACAGCTGGCACCGCGCGGTGCTGACCAGGCCATGTGCGAAGAGAGGCGCCTGCGGCCAGTGGACGTTCGTGACCAGGGCCTTCAGTGCACCCTGGTGCCGCTTGCTCCATCCTGGGGTCGAATTGTGGAGGAGCGCGTGTAGCGGCTCCCAGAAAATGGGTCCGCTTGGCAGGCCCACTACTCCTCTGGCCAGAGTCTTGCCCGTGGCCTGGAGCGCTAGCTGAACCGAGGCGCGCACCGCGGCCTTCTTGGCCTGCTCCTTGACCTGGCGGGGGCCCACCCTGAGCAGGTCGATTCTAGTGCCATCATCGGTGCGTATCACCAGGGGGCCCTCGAAGTCCCAGCCAATCCGCCTCGCCGAGAGGAGGGCCGCGTCCGCTGGCGTGCGGGCCGTGAGCCAAGGCCGGGGGCTGCCCTGCGCCCGCGCCAGCGCCGCTGCCATGGTGGCTTCCAAGACACGGCCGTGCACCTGCTGCTCCCAGGCTGCCAGCGCCCACATGTACAACACGTCCATCGAGCGCAGCACCAAAGGGTTCAGTTTCCGACCGAGGCGGCGCGCGTGTAGGCGGAGGCCCAGCGCGCAGCCTTTGGGCAGCCGCCCAGCCGCTGCCGCAGCCTTGACTCGCAGTCTGTGGAGAGGCCCGTCCGCCAGTCCAGCGGTGACTGTACCCCGCAGGGCCGAGGCGGAAGCCCCCATCCGCTGCAGCATGCCCGCGTCGCCGAGGCCTCCGCGCCGAAGGGTCCCGTATCGCCTGCTGCGGCGGAGTGCCTCGACCTCCCTCGCGGCATGGGCCGCCGCCGAGCGCCTGGCCCCCAGCGTGTGGTTGGTGCCCAGGGCCTTCATCGTAAGGTCCCTCGACGAGCCCCGAAAGGCCCAGGCCTGCTGCAGCTGCTCGTCAAGCTCCGCGTCAGCGGCAAGGTACTTGCTCTTGCCTGGTGATAAGGGAAGCCCGAGCCGCCCGAAGTCCTGTAGCAGGTTGCTGAGGCTGGCCGCGGCTTGCTCAACCACCAGCTTTCTCGTGCCGGTGACGTTTAGGAGGACGTCATCAACCACGTTGCGGATCGCAACGCACGGTCCCGCTGCGCTGGCTCGCCGAAGGGGGCCGATGAGCAGGAGGCGCGCCAACGTAGCGGCGCCGCTGCAACCGGCGATGACGGCTGCGGCTGCCTGGAAGGGCGGGGAGGCGCCGCCTTCGAAGACCACCCTGCGCCATCCAGCGTAGATGCAGCACAGACCGCGAACTAGCCTGAGCGGAAAGCCGTGCTCCTTGGCGGTTTCGTAGAGGAGCCGCAGTTTGACGTTCTCATAGAACTTCTGGAGGTCGACACCCGCGGTGACCGAGGAGAAGCCGACTTCCCTCGCGAAAGTTGCCTTCAGGTTGTGGGTGTACCCCGCCCACTCGCGACTGGTCAGGGAGGAGCCGCCCCAGAAGAACTGGTCGTCGTGCTCCCGCTCCCAGGCCGCGCAGAGCGGCCGCCTCAGCCTGGACCACAGCCAGGGGAAAAGAGCCAGCAGCCTTATTGGCCGCACACCTCCTCCGGCTTTCGCTATGAAGATCATCAGGGTCTGGAACGCCACCAAGGCTTCTGGGCGCTCCTCGAAGGACATGACGATGTCGAGGGCCCGTTGAAGGGCCTCGTCGCCCAGCTGCAGGAGGACCCTCGGATTGAGCCCGTCCCAGCCAAGCCCTGCTGTCTCCGAGTACCTGGCGCAGACGTCCCTGAGCTCCTGCAGGGAGACCGGGGGGAGGGGTTCGTCCTCGACCTCCCGCCCCGACGGGCGGTCGTCGCCCGCGTGGGAGCGCAACCAGAGGGGCTCCCAGTCATCCAGGATCTTCTGGACTGCCTGCTGCCCGTTTACGGGCCGGGCGCTGCCATCAGCTTCTTCAACCAAGAGGTCCCCGGTGTCCTCGTCCTTGCGCCTGGCGTAGCGGTGGGCCAGCCGCCCACCTCCTTGCGCCGCCTTCTGCACCCAGGCCTTCCAATCCTGGCTTCGCTGCGTGGCGTCCCTGGCGCGGCGCCGAAGGACCTCCTGGCGGAGCAGGGCAAGGGGCGAGGCATGACCACTCCGGTGAGGGATCTCGGCAGAGACGGGGACCCCTGGAGTGACCCCGCCACCAGTCGGAGCTGCACCTCTGCAGGGCGCGATGGCAGCGCCCGCCAGGGCGCTGCTCTCATTGAGCCCGCGGGCCCGCGGCCCTCCTGGGGCAACGCTGCAGCCGTTGCCGTCGTGCTCGCCGAAGCCCGCAGCTTCCCAGCCTCCTGGGCTCGTCGCCACCTCGACAAGCTCGAGGAGGCGAGGCTTGGTCAGCACCGCCTCGGAGAAGTCCAACTCCTCGGCCATCGCTAGCAGCTTGCGCTTCCACTGCTGTAGCAAGGATGAGCCCTTGCCCCTGCGGAAGCTGGATGGGGCCGCCCCAACCCTGGGGCCAGGATGGTTGGAGGCCGCTGTCGCCGCCTTCCCGAGCAGCGACAGGAGGCTGATCCAGGCGATGGTCGAGCTCGAGAACCTCCCGCGGTCTTCACGATGCCACAGGTCCTCCAGCCTTACCTGCTTTAGCTGGGGGCCGGTGCAGCGGCCTATGTATTTGCGAGCGTCCTCTGCCTCGATCCCTTGGTCCCGGACGAGCGTTTACTCCGCAAAGGCAGACCGCTCCTTGACCATGATTTCCAGCGGAGCCTCGCCGGACCGCCCAGCCTCCCAGCTCCAGGCAAATGGCAGCTGGTCCTGCTTGGGCCCTATGAGCGGGGTGTGACAGAAGGCCTTGGAGCGGAGCGGCCTGGGCACCACTTGGTCATTGCGCAGGCCCGCCAGCTTGACCAGCATCGGGGCGTGCGGATGTAGCGGTGCCTCTGGGAGCGCCTGGACGGAGCGCACACAGCTCCGCAGGGCCTGCGACATGACGAAGAAGTCTATGGTGCGGCCTGCCTCTTCCTTCGCAGAGGCAGCGGCGGCGGGCTCGCCAGGGCAGGGGGGGCACGCGGGCGGCGGCTGCACGCCTCCTACTCCTCATGCTCCAGTCCTCGCGGTCGCACTTCCGGCCCAACAGGTGTGTCCAGCCGGTGCCGCCACCGCGCCGCGCACCAGGGCAACGAAGCCTGATGCCTCGAGTTCCACCCCCGTCATGTTCCAGTCCGCCTGGATGACCCACATGGCATCGAGGCTGAGGGTGATCCTGGCCAGGCGCTCGAGGAGCTCGGCGTTCCCCGCCGCTCCCACGCTGTGCTCACAGTATACGGACAGAAGCACCACTCCGCCCGGCACTGATGCGCCGAGGCGGCGCCCGCATATCCGGTGCCCGAGGTCCCCAACGTCCAGGCGCTCGGCCGCCGAAGCAATCCCGCGGTGCGCCATGACTGCGACCCCGCCCGAGCTCTCCAGGGCCCCGCGGCCAGTCGAGCACGCCTTGCCCAGCGTGATTCTCCTGTTGGCGAGGGCTGCCTGGCTGCGCGCCGAGATCAGCGCTGCTTCGCTCTTCAGCCTGGTCTCCTGGAGGCAAAAGGCATGTGGCTTCGCCTCTAGCCCCCCGCCGGCCACCTGCTCGTCGATCCACTGGTGGAGGACCGTCCAGCTGCTCCACGCATTCACGTTGGCGCCCATAATGAGCAGCTCCCCCGCAGCCTCTGGGGGCCTCGGGCCCCCGCGCCCCGGCCCAGGTACCTCCAAGCTGCTGACTGAGGCGGGAGGTGCAGCTCCGCGCCGCAGGACCTCCTCCCGCTCCCTCAGCCTCCTCAAGGGCGACGAGGTCGATACATAACCACAGCCCCAGGCCAGGCCCACCAGGGCCCAGCAGCGGCGGAAGCGCCCCCCTGGCCAAGCCAGGAGGGCGCGCGCATCGCACCTGGGCCCAGGATGGCCCTGGCCTGGGGCGGAGGAAAAGTATAGACCTCGACGCTCTATCCTCACACCTCCACGCGCCGCGTCCCAGAGGAGCGCCTCCACCCCCATGGCGGCCGCTGCTGCCGTGGCCCTCACCGGTGGCATTCGACAGCGCCGAAAAAGAAGAAAATTGGGGCCGCGATGCAGCCGAAACCCTAGCAACCATAGCGTCCGAGCGCTCGACCTGCACAGGCACGTCAAGGGTTGCGCACTCGGACTCCCGCTCGCCGACATCGGATAGTCACCGCCCCGGCTCGGGGGCGCCGTCCGGAGGGTCCACGTCGCGAGCAGGTAGGCCCGCGGCGGCGTTGCCCGCCCTGGATGCCTCCGCTGCCTCTCCCGCGGCCTGCACGCCGCCTCCGGGAGGCGGGGGTGCGCTGGCGCCCCCCGGGGCAGCACCAGCAGCTGAGGGTGTGCAGGCGCCCCCCGGAGCGGCCTCCGAATGATCCCCTGGCTGGGGGCCCCCTCCCAGGAGGGCGTCCACGGTGCCCACCCACTCCGCGCCATGTCCTCGGCGCAGGCCGCTGAGCAGCTTGGCGTCCACGTACGCCCCCGTAGTGGTCAGCTCCCTAGGCCGGGCCCTTGGGACCGGTGGCGGGCGGGGCGCCTTTGATGCCTGCACCCTCGGGAGCTTGTGGGCTTGATGCCGCGGCGGGGGGCGCTGCTGCTGGGGCGCCGCCGAGTGCGCCTGGGGGGGCTGCTGATGGCTGCTCCTTTTCCACCGCTTCCACGGCCTCTTGGACGCTGGCTAATTCGGCTGAGATTCTCTCGCCCTTGCTGTTCATGTCGCGGAACCGCCCTGCGAAGGACGCCTGCGGGAGAGGCGGGGCCGGGGCCTCTTCCGCCGCTGCCGCTGTGCGCGCGCTGGCATCTGCTTGCGCTGCGGCCTTGACGAGGCGGCAGATCTCATCCAGGCCCAGGTGCGCCGACTCCGGGTGGGCTTTCACATAGTCCAACACCTCTTCCAACGAGGGGTCTCCGGTCTGTGCCGAGGTCAGCGGCTGGATGGCCTTCTCGGTGACCTTGAGCTGCTCGAGTTTCTCCTTGATCTGGCCGATGCGGTGATTCACTTTGGCCCCGAGGGACTCATACTCGCCCACTAGCTGATCGATCTGGGTCTCCAGACTGAGGAGTTTTTCCTTGTCCTTCTAGACCTCTGCCGTCGTGTCGGCGATGGACTTCCGCAGCTTTTGGGCCTGCTCGGGCAGTGGCAGGCTGAGGAACTTTTGCTGCCTGAGCACAGTAAGCTGCTGCGCTGCTGCGAGGCGCTTGGGATGGTCAGCGCCCACTGTCTTCGCCCAGAAGTCGGCCTCTGCCTGAGCGAGTTCCAGAGGTGTTTTGTTCCGCTTGGCCCCCTCCCCCGCTGTCCCTCCGTAGCCAGACTCACTGGCCAGGGGGCCGCCTGCGGGGCTGCGTGGCCTCGGCTTGCCCTTGCCACTATCCTTGCCTTTCCCTTTCCCGTAGTCCTTCCCCTGGCCTTTGCCGCCCCCCTTTGGCCCGTGCTTGCCGCCCCCGAAGTGGCTCCCGTACTGGGCCGGCGGTGCCCCGCGCTGGCAATGCCATCCGCTTGGCTCTGGCATCGGCACGAAGGGAGGATTGGGAACCTCGGGAGCAACCGTGTGGCAAGAGGCCATGGGTAGGAAACTCGGCGGCGCCCAAGCGTGGTAAAAAGGAGGCGTTGCCTGTCCCATGAAAGGCCCTTGCGGCTGTGGCGGCGGCGGCGGGGCCTCTGCTGCTGGGGCTGGGGGCGCCATGCCCTCGGTGCGGGGTTTCACCCCACGGCTCTGCTCTGTGGGGCCGATGTTGCCCGCCTGGCGATCGCGCTTCGAGCCCGCGCGGCCCCCCTTCCCTGCAACCGACGGGGCGCTCGTGGGGCGCGGGCCGCCCATGGGCAGGGCCGCGCGTGAGGCGTACGCCATACCTGGACAGAACTGGGCTAGCCGAGCGGCTCGGCGGGGCAACGGCGCGTTTGCTGGAGCCTAGATGCTGTGGTGGAGTGTGGGGGCGTGCAGGCGACGGCGAGGCCGTTTAGTGCAAGTGCGGCCTTCAGGGGCCGTGGAGCCCGACACTACAGCGCCAGTGATGGGCTATCCCCTGGGGCCTCAAGGCTAACTTG